GCATTTTTTAAATAGGATTTTTCAAGTTATATCAACAAATTTTATATGAAACTTTCATATCAACAAATTTTATATGAAACTTTCATATCAAAAAATTTCATATGAAACTTTCATATCAAAAAATTTCATATGAAACTTTCATATCAAAAAATTTCATATGAAACTTACATATCAAAAAAAAATAAAATAAAATAAAAATGAAACTTTCATATCAAAAAGTTTCACATACGAAAAAAAAAATTCAAATGAAACTTTCATATCAAAAAATGTCATATTAAACTTTCGTATCAAAAATTTGCATATGAAACTTTCATATCAAAAATGTTCATATGAAACTTTCGTATCAATTTCATATGAAACTTTCGTATCAATTTCATATGAAACTTTCATATCAAAAATTTGCATATGAAATTTTCCCGTGAAACTTTCACATGAAACTTTCCAGCGAAACTTTCACATGAAACTTTCCCGTGAAACTTTCACATGAAACTTTCCCGCGAAACTTTCACATGAAACTTTCCCGTGAAACTTTCACAAGAAACTTTTCCGTGAAACTTTCACATGAAACTTTTCCGTGAAACTTTCACATGAAACTTTCCCGTGAAACTTTCACATGAAACTTTCCCGTGAAACTTTCTCGTGAAACTTTCACATGAAACTTTCACATGAAACTTTCACATGAAACTTTCACATGAAACTTTCACATGAAACTTTCACATGAAATTTTCACATGAAATTTTCACATGAAATTTTCACATGATATTTTCACATGAAATTTTCACATGAAATTTTCACATGAAATTTTCACATGAAATTTTCACATGATATTTTCACATGATATTTTTCACATGATATTTTTCACATGAAATTTTCACATGAAATTTTCACATGAAATTTTCACATGAAATTTTCACATGAAATTTTCACATGAAATTTTCACATGAAATTTTCACATGAAACTTTCACTTGAAACTTTCATATAAAAAATTGCATATGAAACTTTCATATGCAAAATTTCGTATGAAATTTTTATATATATAATTTCTCAATCCTCTTTCATTTCAATATCTGACAGTGTTTTCAAATTTTTGGGTGAAAGTTCGTGGTGTTTCTATGTGAAAAATTACAACTAAATTTTGTATACAAATGTTATTTATAGAACTCCGTAGACAAACTAGGGAGAGGAGGATAGTAGTAGTAGTTGATCCCAATAATAAAATCATAAAAATAAAAATTTTGAAAATTTATGTTTTAAAATATGTATTCAAATATTGATGTCTTACGCTTATATTCAAATTCATGGTACTCTCAGCGGATATTTTGCGGGCATTAAATGGCGGTATTTCCGATAGCTTCGCTATTGTGGGTAATTTCTTTTCTTGTGTTATTGTTGTCTGTGGCTGGGAACTGGATGATGATGATGACGTGGCTGAGGCAGCGGCGGGGGGTGGTGTCGATGCGGCTGAGCCAATTAGCGACTGTGATGTTAATTGCGATGGCTGTTGTAGTTGTTGTTGGTGGCGGGAAATGTTACTAGCATTATTATTATTGTTGGAATTGATGGCAATGCCGGTAGTCCGTTGGGGACTACTGCTGGCACTACTGCCAGTTTGCTCGGCCGAATCCGTGGATTTCTTCCGGAAGGGTGGTATTTCTGGTAGATGCATACATTGACGGGTATTTAAGGCCAAGGAACTTGCAGAAGCTCTAAATATATTTACAGGAGGTTCGATTTTTTTTGGATACAAGAAGAAGAAAGGAGAAGGAGAGAAAAAATAGGAAGCCAAAAATAAGAGAGAAAGAAAAGAAGCAAAATTGAGTGTAAGGGAAAAAAAGAAACAAAAATGCAAAAGGATAGTTGGAGGAGGAGGAGGATAGATGAAAAGGGAAAATGAGACAAGGGACCAAGGCATAGCGTTACAAAAATATTTCGTAAAAAATTGTGAGTTTTTAAAAAAAGTGTGTGAAGAAAAAAATATCGAGAGTAAAAATTCGTGAAGAGAAAAAAAATTGAAAAGAGAGAAGATATATGGTAATCAAGAGAAAATCATTAGCAATATTTTCATAAGAAAAATTTGTTGGAAAATACAACAACTATAAACATTTAAAATTGAAAAAAAAATATTATTTTTTTAATCTGAAACATGCGTTCGTTTGGAAATTTTTGTAAGATTTGGGAAAAAAATATCTCTTTAAAAAAAAATTAGAAGTTCTTGTAATTTTTTGTAAAGAATTTAAATCATTTAAAAAAATATTTTTATCAAACAGATAGAAAAAAATCTATTTTTTTTATTAGTAACAAATCTATTCTTTACAATATTTTTTATTTAATTTTTTTAAATATTTTTTTTAATTAAAAAAAAATTCTTTTTAACTTTTTCAAAAAATATCTTGGAAAATTCTAATGTTTTAGGAACAATATTTTTTTGTTGGTCTTTTTTAAAAAATTTTCAAAAAATATTTTTTTGATAAGTATTGTTTTTATACCCTACATCATAGTATGGAGGGTATATTAATTTTGTCTGTAACTCATCGAAGTAATCATTTCCGACCCTATAAAGTATATATAATCTTGATCAGCCTAAAATTCTATGACGATATAGGCCATGTCCGTCTGTCTGTCTATCTGTCGTCTGTCTGTTGTGATCACTCTAGCGTCTAAACTAATTGAGATAGATCGATCAGCAGGCAGATCAAGTTTGAAGATGGGCTTTATCGGTCCACGTTTAGGCATAGCTCCAATATAAGGGTACCCCATAATTTTCGGTATTTTGAGGTTCTTGAGTTCGTTTTTCAACTGAACTCGCTGAAATTTGGTACATTGAGTTCTTATTGGGTAACAAATCTCTCCACTAACAATTATAAATGTGGGTCCATATTTTCGGATAGCCCCCATATAAGGGTACCCTCAATTTTGCGGTATTTTGGGGGTTTTGATAGCATTTTTCGACCGAATTGGCTGTAATTTAGTAATTTGAGATCTTATTGGGTAGCAAATTTCTCCACTAAAAATTATAAATATAGGTCAATTTTTTCGGGTAGCCCCCATATAAGGGTACGTCACAATTTCCAGTTTTTGTGCGGTTTTAACCGGATTTTTCACCGAATTGGCTTTAATTTAGTAATTTGAGTTCTTATTGGGTAGCAAATCTCTTCACAAAAAATTATAAATATAGTTCAATTTTTTCGGGAAGCCCCCATATAAAGGTACCCCCAATTTTCGATATTTTGAAGTTCTTGAGCGCGTTTTTAAACCGAATTCGCTGAAATTTGATACATTGGGTTCTTATTGGGTACCAAATTTCCCCACTAAAAATTATAAATATAGGTCCACTTTTTCTGGTATCCCTTATATAAGGGTACCCTTCAATTTTCGGTATTTTAGGGTTCTTGAGCGCGGTTTTCAATCGATTTCGCTGAAATTTGGTACATTGGGTTATTATTGGGTACCAAATTTCACCACTAAAAATTATAAATATGGGTCCAAAGTTTCGGATAGCCCCCATATAACGGTACCTCCCAATTTCCAGTTTTTGGGGGGTTTGATCGAATTTTTCGACCGAATTCGCTGAAATTTAGTAATTTGAGTTCTTATTGGGTAGCAAATCTCTCCACAAAAAATTATAATTATAGGTCAATTTTTTCGGGTAGCCCCCATATAAGGGTACCACCAATTTTCGATATTTTGAGGTTCTTGAGCGCGTTTTTCAACAAAATTCGCTGAAATTTGGTTTTTTGTAGTCGTATATGATACAAAATCTCCCAACCAAAAATTCTTAATATTCGACCCCATTTTAGGGTAGTCCCCATAAAACCCCCTTTTTTATATTAAAATGGTTATCTGATTTGTTCCGCGTTTTGAGTTTGGTTCTAAGATTTTGATGTAATCATTTCACCTGCGGAGGATATCGAGATAAACCAGTAAGGAAAATAGTAAAGTTGGACTGGGCCGACTATATGATACCCATCACCACTTTGGGTATATTCTACATATGTATCCTAAAAGAGGTCGTCTTTTCCAAGGAACATTGATATGAAATTGAAGGAACTAAAATATGTGATATTTATCTATATCTAAACCGACTAACATCAATCCCTACACATGCCATTCTGCAACCTAACATGTCATTCTGCAATAGGGTTCGTCCTTGGGCCATACCAATGAGCTGTGCCAAATTTCATCCAATTCGGATCATAAATGCGACCTGTACTTTGCTCACAAAAATATATGGACGGACGGACGGACATGCATAAATCGACTCAGAATGTGATTCTATGCATATTCTCAAAAGGAACCATGGTTCTATCTCGATTCCTTTTGCCTGTTACAAACATATGCACAAAGACATAATACCCTGTACCACAGTGTGGTGAAGGGTATTAAAAGTAGAACGTAAGGTTCAGTTCATTATCGAACCTTACGTTCTAGGTCTAATAACCCGCATTTAGACCTAGTCCCTGTATGGGGGTTCCAGAAGAAGTGGACCGATATTCCCCATCTTCGAATTTGAACTAAGATTGGAAGCAATAATAACATGGAAAAAGTTTGGATGAAATCTAAATTTTTTGAAACGTATTTGGTCCAAAGAAACATCGGGTCTAGAACCAATATTTCTATGAGGCGTATTTACACCGTGTCAAAGTGTATACACCCTCATTAGCCATAAGTCTGAGGGTATAATTATCCATTAAAAATTTCGGAAATTTGTATCATGGTTTACATTATGGTATGTTTCCTATATTTTCATTTCTATTACCTGTCAGTATATCTATGGTGGAGGGTATCCAAAGTTCGGCCCGACCGAACTTAATGCTTTTTCACTTGTTTATATTAAAATAGTTATCTGATTTGTGCCGCGTTTTGGGTTTGGTTCTAAGACTCTGTAATCATTTCACCTGCGGAGGATATCGAGATAAAAAAAAATAGAACGTAAGGTTCGATAATGAACTATATATGATATATAACCTGCATTTAGGCCTAGCCCCTCTGTGGGAGTTACCAGGTGGAGTGGACCGATATTCCCCATCTTCGAACTTGAACTATGTTTGGATGAAATCAAAATTTTCTGAAACAAATTTGGTCCAAAGAAATATGGGGTCAAGAACCAATATTTCGATAAGGCACATTTTCACCGTGTCAAAGTGTATACACCCTCATTAGCCATAAGGCTGAGGATATAATTATCCTTTAAAAATTTCTAAAATTTGTATTATGGTGTACATAATCCGTTTTTAGAAATGTCGGTATAGGTCCCCTTTTTGGTATGTTCCCTATATTTTCATTTCTAGTTGCTGTCAATATATCTATGGTGGAGGGTATCGAAAGTTCGGCCCGGCCGAACTTAACGCTTTTTCACTTGTTTCCTAATTTATTTGATAAAAATATTTTTGTTTAAGTTTTTTCATTTTGTTTTTTTTTTAAATCTTTCTTATTTTTTTTAGAATTTTTTTTATGTAAATTTTTTAATTTTAGTTTGGAAAAATATTTCTTTTAATTTTTAGATTTTTTAATGAAAAATTAGAAATATTAAATAAATTTAATTGCTTTATATTTTCATTCTATGGCAATAAAGAAAATAAAATCCATATCACACACACTCTTTTGAACATCTATTTACACACACACACACATTTATATACACATGTATCTATAGTTATGACTTTACCCCGTTAAAGCGTGCAATCTTTGTATTGGCATGGAGCTTAAATTACGAACTGAATATCCATGAAATGGGGGTATTTCCGGTATTTTCTTTTTCTGCTTACAATTTTTGCATGCGCTTTTGTTTTCGAAAAAAAATTTACGAAAAATTGACAAAAAATTATAATTTTTACAAATTTATAAAAAAAAATTAAATTTAGAAAAATAAAAAATATTACAAATTTTTATAAATTGTAACCCATTGTGTGTAAGTGTTTTTTTGGTATTGTTTTTGTATTTAAAAAAGTGCAAGAAAATTAAAAAAGGAGAGGAATAGAGGAATAGAGAGATATCTAATTAAAATAGAAATTTGAAACGATTCAGATCTAGCCTTTTATTTAAAAAAAATATATTGCCTTTACATTTTTACTACTCTAATGATGTTTGGAAATGAGTATGGAATATATTGTACCATGTTTTGTTTGGTATAGCTACAAGTTTGGTATACTGCACCAATATTCGGCATATTGGATAATTTTCCTAGAGAAGTGGCTATAATTTGATATTTTGGGTGTCTAATTAGGTAGCAAACCTCCCTACCAAGAATTATGAATAATGGTCCATTTTTTCAGGTCGCCCCCACATAAGGATATTCCTAAAATGTTAATATTTGTAGGAGTTTGGAGATGTTTTTTTTATCGAAGTGGCTGTTATTTGGTACCAAACCTCCGTACCAAAAATTATAAATATTTATACATTTAATACTCGGCATACGCAATCTAACAACCCAAGGTCTTTGGTGCATCATTTACAAAAATCATATATATATATATATATATATATATGGGGACTATATACGTCCCAATATGTATGGAGCCGAAAATTCAATTAAGCCCCTAGGATGATTCTATGGACAATTCTAAGCAACTTTGGCGAAGGGACCATAGGTTTGTCTCGATTAATTAATTTATATTAACTTCAGTACATTGTACAAAATTGTGTGGCAATCGGACAAACTTTGGGTCTTTAATACACAATTTACATAAAATCGGAAGAAAGACATATGGGAGCTATATCTAAATTTGAACCGATTATCAAGAAACTATGCTATGCTATATCAAATTTCGTTCAAATCGAAGGATATATATGGGGACTTTGGTGCGACATTTACATAAAATTCGACGAAAATATATATGGGAGCTTTATCTAAATCTGAACGGATTTTCAGGAAACTTAGCACACATCATTCTAGGCTCAATTCAGTACGTTATGCCAAATTTCGTGCAAATCGAATGATATATAGCGACTTTGGTGCACCATTTACATTAAATCGGAGGAAATTATATATGGGAGCTATATCTGGAGCGAATGGACAGATATATGTGGACTTTGGTGCACCATTTACATAAAATCCGACGAAAATATATATGGGAGCTATATCGAAATCTGAACCAATTTTCAGGAAATTTAGCACACATATTTCTAGACTTAATTCAGTACATTATGCCAAATTTCGTGCAAATCGAGGATATATATATAGGGACTTTGGTGCACTATTTACATAAAATCGGACGAAAATATATATGGGAGCTATATCTAAATCTGACCCGATTTTCTCGAAACTTGAAACACTTCATTCTGGACCTAATTCAGTACCCTATGCCAAATTTCGTGCAAATCGAAAGATATATAGGGACTTTGGTGCGCCATTTACATAAAATCGGACGAAAATATATATGGGAGCTACATCTAAATCTGACCCGATTTTCTCGAAACTTGAAACACTTCATTCTAGACATAATTCCGTACGCTATACCAAATTTCGTGCCAATCGAAAGATGCATAGGGACTTTGGTGCACCATTTACCTTAAATCGGACGAAAATATATATGGGAGCTATATAGAAATCTGAACCAATTTTCCCGAAACTCACCACACATAATTCTAGACTCAATTCAGTACGCTATGCAACATTTCGTGCATATCGAAAGATATATATAGGCCATTTACATAAAATCGGTGGAAAATATATATGGGAGCTATATCGAAATTTGAACCGATTTTCACGAAATTTAACACACATCGTTCTAGACTTAATTCAGTACGTTATGCAAAATTTCGTGCAAATTGAAGGATATATAGGGACTTTGGTGCAACATTTACCTAAATCGGACTAAACTATATATGGGAGGTATATCGATATCGATTTTCAGGAAACTTAATACACATCATTCTAGACCTAACTAGTTACGCTGTGCCACATTTCGTGCTGATTGAAAGATTTTAAGGGACGTTGGTAGACCATTTTCATAAAATCGGACGAAAATATATATGGGAGCTATATCTAAATCAGAACCGATTTTCAGGAAACTTGCCACACATAATTCTAGACCTAATTCAGTACACTATGCCAAATTTCGTGCAAATCGAAAGATATATAGGGACTTGGTACACCATTTACATAAAATCGGTGGAAAATATATATGGGAGCTATATCGAAATCTGAACCGATTTTCACGAAATTTAACACACATCGTTCTAGACTTAATTCAGTATGCTATGCAAAATTTCGTGCAAATCGAAGGATATATTGGGACTTTGCGGCCTCATTTACTTAAAATCCGACGAAAAATATATGGGAGCTACATCCAAATCTGAACTGATTTTCACGAATCCTAGCACACATCATTCTGGACCTAATTCAGTACTCTATGCAAAATTTTGTGCAAATCGAAGGATATATAGGGACTTTGGTACACCATTCTCCTTAAATCGGACAAATATATATGTGGGAGTTATATCTAAATCTGAACCAATTTTCATGAAATTTAACCTACACCATTATATACTACTCGGTACGTTATTTTTTTTAGTATTTTTTTCACTTTTGAATGTGACCTTTTTAAATGTAATTTTCGTTTAATTTAACTTCAGACCTTTACACGGTTAATATTTCTATAACCAGGGCATCCTAATGTGTTCTTCCGATTTTGACTGGGGATTTCAGGCAGGATAATAATTTATATTTCAAAAATATTTATATAATCTTAAAAAAATATATTGTGAAACAAATACATACAAAGAAATAGCAAAAATGTGTTTAAGTATTAGAAAGGCAAAGAGGAAATGTATATGTGTGTGAATGCAGAAGGCATATATGTGTTAGGATATTTAAGTAGAGTGTGTTTGTGTGTGTTTGATTTATTCATTTTAAGGTAAATAAAAAATATTGGAAATCTGTTGACCTCTAGTATCAAAATTCATTAAATACTTTAATACATACCCGCTGTGAGAACGGCCAACATCCTGATTAAGACTTGTCAAGGAGGCACCACCCATGGGCGGTGTGGACTCAAGCAGGGGGCGTATGAGGATTGTGCTTGTCTAAAAGTAATTAAAAAAATTTATTAATTTTTTTGAAAAATACATTTCAAAAATATCCTTTACCTGTGATGGTGGTGAATCCGGTGATGAGTCACGATTCTCAAAGACATTAACATCCGCCTCGATATTACGCTGCAGTCCAAATCGTGATATTTCATCAACATAGGGTTCAAATTCACGCTGCTTCAGCAGCTCTTGTTGATACAGTAGATCTTCGGACAATTGCCGTTGTATGGACTGTTGATTGGCAGCAGCTGCAGCAGCCGACACAGCGGCACCACAACTATTAACATCGGCTAAATTCAAGGCAGCCAATTCATGATCCGGTTGGGTGGATGTGGTACTGGGCGGTGTTGGTGGTGTGGGTCGTGGCGAGGTGCCCTTACATTGCATTTCACGGCGACAATGTTCGGCTCGGGCTATTTCCGCTGCCAACCATGATGGCAGCTCTGGCAGCAGCCAGGTTAAGGCTGAACGTAGGCCCAACATGATATGCTGCAATGAAAGAGAAACAGATTAATACCAGTCCCCTCCCCCATCGTTGAACCTACCTCTAGTGTTACTATCAAAATAATCGTTTGTGCCGTTGTTAGACCCGACCACAAACGTGACACTTGTCCGGATAGGCCAATCAATGCACAATTCACAATGACCGCAGCCAGTGACAGCAGGCTGAGGGCATTCTGCCAGGTTCCAATGTTGGCAACACGTTGACCAAATGGCCTCTGATGTACATGGGCCAATTTAAAGGCATCGGAACGAATTTCCATTAGATTGTTAATGAGGGCACATATTCCGGCCAGGGGGAAGGCGGCCGAAAATAGCACAACATAACCCATTTGGACAAGCATTTCCAAATGATCCGAAAAGGTGCCGTCGTACTGGAAATGAATAAAAAAATTAAAGCCAAAAATATTTTTTGAAAAAATGAGCTTGTCTGAGCTCCCTAAAATATTTTTTTAAAAAATCGACGCCTTGTCTGAGATCCCTAAAAATATTTTTTTTAAATCCAGGCCCCATGTAGGTCCCTAAAAACAATATATTAATTCTTGTCTTATGTGGCGTATCACTACTGACACAACTCATACGCACCCCCCGCCCCTTCCTTACCTTATACAATGAACTTTCAATTTCCGCCTGTCCAATATTACGTTTAGTTGCACTCGTAGTCGTCGATGGTGTTGAACAACCCGTATCTGTGGATGGTTTCTTGGGTAGCTGCTTCGATGGCGTGCCCGGCTGCATGGGTGTTGATGTACCACTTGCCAGTTTGGTTTTCTCTGGGTCCGTAGAACCAGCTGCTCCCGCCGCAGCCACACTTTCCGCAAAGGTACGATTATTATCCTGTGTCGGACTCAAGGCACCCCACATATTGAAGCTCAGCTTGGCCAGACGTACCTGTTCGGCAACATATGGCAGGGCCGACTCACGTAAATTGCCAATAATTTGTCGAGAAATCAGCAGACCAGCCAATTGCTAAAATCGAAGCAATGGTTGAGGTATAAGCTCTTCAATTTTCTTTTTAAATTTTGCTCACCTCTTTAAGCTTCTCTTCATCGCGCAAATAAAACGCTATATAGAATAGCGATAGAAAAGAGTTGACAAATTGAAATAGAGCCACCTTGGCTATCAGATGATTTTCATATTTCGATTGCAGGCGATAATTTTCTAAAAACACAAAATTTTTATCGGATTTAATTTCGGAACGCCTAGAGCCTTCTTCATCCTTACCTTTATCATTTAGCCAAACTGCCAATTTATAGTATGCCTCATCCATAAGAGTTATGGCGCCGGCCAATAATACCTTGGGTATTACACTTAGGCAGCAAAGCACGCCAGTTTCGGGTAGCTTGGAATCCCACCAATCCTGTAAAAAGAAGAAGAAGGAAAGAAGTTTAGTGAAGGGTAGTCTTTACTGATGTTACCATAAGGCCTATAAAGAAGGACCATATTCGATTTCATAAACAATTTCTTCAAAATTAAAGCTGTTACCAGCTATTATTTAACTATCAAAGAGGGAAGGGAACTATATGGCGTATAAGTGTGGTCATTACGTATACGATCCTATATTCCATATGAATAAATTGAGGCAGAATTGAGCTCTAGAGGGCGCCGATTTTTAAAAGAACAATTTTTCGAGGGCCATCAGAAATGTATATTTTTATAGACCTTCAAAATAGTTTTAAAACATTCAACCCTTTGGCAAGACCTCCAAAAAATATTTCAAAAAGATCCACGCCTTTGCTAAATCTCCAAAAACTATGTGGCAGACCTCCAAAAAATATTCTTTAAAAAATCGACGCCTTTGGCTCGACCGCCAAAAAATATTCTTTAAAAAATCGATGCCTTTGGCTAGACCTCCAAAAAATATTCTTTAAAAAATCTACGCCTTTGGCTAGACCTCCAAAAATATTCTTTAAAAAATCCACGCCTTTGGCTAGACCTCCAAAAAATATTCTTTAAAAAATCCACGCCTTTGGCTAGGCCTACAAAAAATATTCTTTAAAAAATCCACGCCTAAGGATAGTCCCTAAAAAAATATTTTTAAAAAATCCACGCCTAAGGATAGTCTCTGAAAAAATATTTTTAAAAAATCCACGCCTAAGGATAGTCCCTGAAAAAATATTTTTAAAAAATCCACGCCTAAGGATAGTCCCTGAAAAAATATTTTTAAAAAATCCACGCCTAAGGATAGTCCCTGAAAAAATATTTTTAAAAAATCCACGCCTTAGGTAGGACCCTGAAAAAATATTTTTAAAAAATCCACGCCTTAGGTAGGACCCTGAAAAAATATTTTTAAAAAATCCACGCCTTAGGTAGGACCCTGAAAAAATATTTTTAAAAAATCCACGCCTAAGGATAGTCCCTGAAAAAATATTTTTAAAAAATCCACGCCTAAGGATAGTCCCTGAAAAAATATTTTTAAAAAATCCACGCCTAAGGATAGTCCCTGAAAAAATATTTTTAAAAAATCCACGCCTAAGGATAGTCCCTGAAAAAATATTCTTTAAAAAATCCACCCCGAAAAAAATATTTTCTAAAAAATCCACGCCTAAGGATAGTCCCTGAAAAAATATTTTTAAAAAATCCACGCCTAAGGATAGTCCCTGAAAAAATATTTTTAAAAAATCCACGCCTAAGGATAGTCCCTGAAAAAATATTTTTAAAAAATCCACGCCTAAGGATAGTCCCTGAAAAAATATTTTTAAAAAATCCACGCCTAAGGATAGTCCCTGAAAAAATATTTTTAAAAAATCCACGCCTAAGGATAGTCCCTGAAAAAATATTTTTAAAAAATCCACGCCTAAGGATAGTCCCTGAAAAAATATTTTTAAAAAATCCACGCCTAAGGATAGTCCCTGAAAAAATATTTTTAAAAAATCCACGCCTAAGGATAGTCCCTGAAAAAATATTTTTAAAAAATCAACGCCTAATTTTTAAAAAATCCAGGCCTTAGTTGATGTGTCCCTGAAAAAATATTTTTAAAAAATCCACGCCTAAGTTATTAAGTCCTTGAAAAAATATTTTTAAAAAATCCACGCCTGAAAAAATATTTTTAATTAAAAATTCACGCCTAAGGATAGTCCCTGGAAAAATATTTTTAAAAAATCCACACCGTGTCTGAGAATCTTAAAGAAATCCTCTCCTATTGTTCTCAGTTTTTGTTATGCTCATTTTGAAAATTGTTATGCTAATAGACGTTGTTGTTGTTTTAATTATCATAATTTTTCTTTAATCTCAAAATCACGAAGAGCAGGCCAACAACCGACCGACCTCTTTTTAAAAATTAATGCCAACAAATGTGATTTTATTTAGCCATGCATAAATGGCCGGCACGCACTTAGCGTGATTTAAACACCCATCCCATTCACGCTTTCATTCGCCCACCCATAATTGCGCAGGGTATTCGACAAATTGTCGTAAAATTTCGATGTGACTCATACTTTGTATGTCCTCTTAAAAAAGAGACGCAGATAGGAAGGATATGGAAGGGGAAGGCAAATCAACTGTTGACTATGATATCCCCTATGTGTGTGTGTGTGAGATA